ATATGTGCATAGCAGAAAAGAATAACTAGTGTTTGTTCCTTTTAGACAATAAAGTAAAAACAAATGCACACACAGGTAATGTCATCCCATATACACACACAGATCATAACGTAATATAACTTCAGAGTTTCAGTTTGAGTACCTCACGAGAGATGAATATGTCTGGAAATCCAAAATCCATGTAAGCCCGGTATGAATAGTAACTGCGGCATAGGAGCAGGAATTACAATTCAGAAACATAGGCAATTGCAAAAATTTAAAAGGTGAATAAGTGATGTGAAGTTAAAGAAACACACACACACAAACAATAGGAATGAACCCCACCTATCCGATGTCACAAGAACAACAGGAATGCACCTCTCGTTTGCACCTAAAGCTATTATTCTCCATATCAGACTGTCATGATACATTGATCCACAGACTGACGAATTCTCATCTAACAAAATTGCATTCCGTAAAACTTCGATATTGTTTATAACCAGCTTAGGCTGCTCAATATGTGAAACGTCAGTCAATTAGAGTTTCATAAAAGCACCATACACTAATCAAAACCACACAAATCTACGCACCAAGAAACTTTTTTTCTCAAGCAAATTTTAACCATGACTGGATTAAAACCACAACAACTCCGATATAAAAAATGTGAACTTCATTACCTGGAAATGATCAATTTCAGCAGCTTGAGATAACAACTCCAACAACAAACAGGGCCAATCAGTGCACGAATTTGCTAAAAACCTTGAGAACCCACCTGTCCGATTTAAATGTGCAATAGCATTAGCCCTCCAACTTTGTTGGACCTTAATCACCTCCTTTGCCAATCTCAATGCCACTACAGCTTCCCTATAGTACGAAGCCTCTTCCAATGGCAAACTCTTTAGCTTCTCACACAAACCCAAAATCCCATCAATCTCTTCGGCATTACATCGAGCACTTAGAGCGAAAACGGCCCGATCCCACAAAACAGAACCCGAAACTCTATCAGAAACCGCATTCTTGGACGCACTATTGCCCTCAATAACGCAGCGGAGCGCCGTGTTAATACCGTGCCATTTGTTGAGAGTAGAGAAAATTTGATGAGAGCTAATGGAACCAAGCTGGACGCCCTTGTGAGTCATGGATTCGAGGCAGCTCTCAAGCCTGGTTCTGCAATCGGACAAAGTGGGTGGTGGGCAATTGGACCAAGAAGCCCAAGGAAACGACTGATTGAATTGTGGGTGGTGGTCTTTGATGGACTCGGCGAAGTCTACGTAGCCAGTGAGGTGAGGGCCTTTGTTCCAGTCGTTGAGCAGACCTGGAGAGACTCAGTGTGTTAGAAGAGAGAGAAAGTAGAGACGAAATATTGCAGAGAAATGAAAGTGGGTCATTACGTTCGAGGATGAGAGTGGTTTTTCCGACGCCTCTGGGGCCGTGGAGGATCAGAGGCTGAGGAACACGGTGGTGCTGGGCGTGGTTGTTTAGCACTGTTTCTAACAATGGCCTTGGTATGATCCTCCATGGTTTGTTCACCATTGTTGTACTTTCTTCCTGAGATTTGTTGTGCTCTTCCAATGTTCACTGACTGTGTGTTGTTTGTGGAAGAAGAAGGGAGGGGGGGTATTAGGAGGGTTTTAGTTGGAGACTAACAAGGGCGGCCTCCGCGAGCTACCTCTCTAGAGTTAAGCTGAAGAAAAGTTATTTATTTGTTAGCAACTATTTACTTGTGGTTGTCCTTTTTTATCTTTTAAATTTTTTTTTTTTTTAAAGTTTACTGCAAAATGGAAATGGCATGCCACTAAAGTAATTGAGAAATTGCCAGTATGTATATGTTACACACTAGATCACTAGGTTGTAAATAAATCTTTACTACTTTGCCATGATCATCATCGTGTGATAAGTTCAAATCTCATAAACGATAATGGTTCGATAAAACAAAGAACATTTGTATTTCGTCATGTCCAAAACTTAGAGACCTCAGATTACTCGTGCTTAAAACTTATGGGCCATAATCTTCTCCCAATGTTATTAGGCCTATAGGCTATAAGCTTGCAGGTTGTAGGCCACCGGCACACTGGAAAAGCCCATTAAGGAGGAGGAATTCTTCCGCTCTGTGCTAATCGATCAATCTCCGTTTCGCACGTTTGACAAAGGAAAAGGGGAAATTTTGATTTGGATCGTGCTAATCGGGGTTTGAATGCACTATAATACAACCACCCTAATTTAAGTCAAAATTGTAGAATACTTCAATTAATCAATTAATCAATCAATCAATCAATTTGTGGGGGAAAAAGTAACCATCAATCACAAATAAACTAAACTAAATGTTCATTTATTGACAATGATTTGTAATTTTTGACATGTTTATTTATTTAAAAATGGGGAAGTGATAAAAAAGAGGAAAATATTTTCCTCTTTATCAGGCAAGTAGGAGCTCCTACATTCTTATTAATAGCAGTGTAACATGTATGCATAAGTTTTTATTTTTGTGTTTTTTATGAATTATTTTTTGCATATGTGTAAAACTGTGATTCGCAGGAATGAGAAATATCTTCTTACCAATAAGAAGGCAAGTAATATCCATAAAAAATAATCAATATGATAGAGAATGAATGAGTATGATATTCCCAAAATTTAATATGATTTGTACAGTGATTAGTAACACTCTCCGATGCCTATGTCAATTTTTTCCCAACAAATGAGGCTTATAAAAGTATTGTACTCAACTACGGAGAAAGTTCATATGGAAAGTACTCCCTCATATATAGAGAAGATGGAATCTCTCAATTGTCTTTTTCCGATGTGGGACCCGAGAGAGGTTGATGATGTGCACCATTCTATTGGGCGAATATTGATAGACTGATGTGTGTCCTTTCTTTTTTGAGGAACAACATGCGTTAATGGGATATGACGAGGGTCCATTCTGGCTATTCTTTTTCCCACATACGGGCCTTTGGGGATAGGTGCATGGGTTAGTGCGTTGGGTCATGGCCTCGTGGGCTTATGGCTTAGGAGGCCTTCTTTTACCTCATTTGAGCCTCTTTAGATGTGAGGTAAGGTTGGTGTAGTCTATTAGTAGCCCGAGCCCATCTACTTTCTCAAGTGGTCTAGGCCTTTGCTATTTTGGATGGGCCCTACTGATATTTGGTATCAACATGATTCATGGTTTTGCATGTATTGATTCATAGGAGGACTTCTTTGACAGTACCTACATAGTGATGGGATGTTGTTTTAAAGGTTTTGTGGTTGGGGTTTAGGTTGATTTGTTTCGTATAAGTTGTTTGACTCTTCTGTTTAGTCAATAGCATGGGTGGTACTCTTTCCTACCATGGAATTTTGTTTCTCTATGAAGATTTTAACGAGGCCGCCGTTAACATACTAGTTCTTACTATATAATGTTCCTTTCGGTTTAATGAAATACCATATTTTCTCAAAAAATATGTTTAGTTGCACATGTGCTAGTAAATGCATAAAAAGTTAGAAATCATAATAATTCTAATACTCATGTGTTAATAAACGAAAGGAATTAATGATTCACAATAATTCTAAGACCCATTCTAGAAAAGTAAGCATGACATTTTGTATCATATAAATTATTTTTCAGACAATAAACAAATATAGAATTTGATTAAAAAATTGAGGCTTAATTCTTGTATTGCTTCCTGAAACTATAGACAATTTAGACATCGTTCTCTGAAAATTCTAATGACATGCGGACGCACGTTGGGACAAGAGGGGTCACACGACCCCTTAGAATTTTGGAAAATTGGATGTGGACTCCATGAACGACCCCTTGGAGAGCTGGTGAACGACCCTTTGTGTGCACACCAAGTGCTCGACGAAAGTCCTAGCCCATTTGCTTGCTCTTATATATAATATATATATTTTTCCTAAAATGAGCCTTGCCAAATGACGTCATTTGGTCCAAGGCTCAGTCAAATTTTTTTTCATTGATCTGGCCTCAAAACGACGTCATGTTGAGCTAGGTTTTAAAAATGAAAAAAAAAAAAAAAAAAAACATCAGCACTTACCTAACTCTGTAAAGCAGCTCCAAACCATTTTCATTCTCAATTTCACATCTCTTCGCAGATGCCGACCACCACCACCTTGTGTCGCCGTCCGCCGCCCTTTTTTTCAACTACAACTTCAAGTAAGCAATATTTATATTTATAAATTTATAATGATAATTTATATTATTGATATTGATATTTTTTTTATGGATTGAAATTTATGGATATGATAAATTGATAATGTAGATTGATTGAGTTTATGCTTTATTGATAATGTGGATTGATTGATATTTGATATGATAATTTGGTATATTGAATATTGATTGATATGATAATTTGGTATATTGAATATTGATAGTGAGTTATTGACATTTTCATATTCATATGATAATTTGGATAAAAATTAATGACAACGAAACTATAATGCAACATTTTCAAAATATGAAAATTTGTCGTGGACAATTGTAACTTGTATTATTGGTTTTGTTATGAATTATGAATGGAAGTACTATCTTTTTATCTTTTTAGTATTATTTTCTTTGTAGGAAAAATTTTGGAACTATTACACTGTGACCCCTTGCCCACATAATCCTAAATTCGCCACTGATAATGCGTTGCGCCTCATTGATTAATGTTTGACATCTTACTTTTGCCCCACTTAAGTAAGAGAGTAATGTGCATCACCGTAAGCTAAAAGTTAATATAGAAGTAGTTTTTGCATATTTGCATGAGGAGTTTACCAAAAGAGAAAGAAAAAACAAAACCTTCGCGTAGACGTTAACGAATTAGTTATAACTCAAGTCGTGGTGGAAGTTGGAACAAAGTGGAAGACGAAGACACGAAGTCAACAATTGTCGTAAATTACGCGAGTATCAATTAACTTATTTTTCTTTTATACGAATATTCTGGCGGGGTTAGCAAAAATAAATAAAGGTATATATAATAAGCAAAGAGAGATTGCAGACTGGAGCCGGACGAGGTGGGCCATATATCCACTGGCCCACATTTGGCCCAGGCCCATCACTTCAGGTAGTTAAGCTCTGGTCTGGTCTCTGCCTAACAGTGAAAAGAAAAAAAACTGCCACACGATTCTTTTTCATTTTCTCTCTCTCACTCGCTGTCTCTCACTTCATTGTTTGCCATTGTTGCTCTTCCCCACACCTCGCTTCTCTCTCTCGATTGCTTCGCTCCACTTCACTTTTCTGCACCTTCCTCCTCCTCCATTTTCTTTTACTTCCAAAGCAACCAAACCCAAAACCCCACTTCCCTCTCTCTCTCTCTCTCATGTATTGTTCAGCGCTAACTGAGACACACCCAAGCCCGACCCGGTCCTAACCCGGACCCGCCAATCCCAAATGCATCGCGCCACGGCCGCCCCAAACCCACTCCAAACCCTCCTTGATCTCATCAACTCTACCCTCTCCCTACTCCTCCGCTCCTCCCTCACCGTCCGATCCTTCGTCGGACGGTGGACCGCCCTCCACACCAAGCTCACTTCCCTCCACTCCTCCGTCGCCGACATCTCCGACTCTCCCCACTGGGCCCAGAACCCTCTTCTCCACACCCTCCTCCCCAACCTCCTCTCCACTCTCCAGCGCCTCACCGCCCTCGCCGACCAATGTACGGACGCCGGGTTCACCGGCGGGAAGCTCCACATGCAGAGCGACCTCGACATGGCCTCGTCCTCGCTCTCCAACCAGCTCCGCGACCTCGACTTATTGCTCAGATCCGGAGTGCTCCACCAGTCGAACGCCATCGTTTTGTCCCACCCGGGCCCCGGGTCGGATAAAGAGGATTTTGGCTTTTTTGTCCGGGACCTCTTCACCCGATTACAAATCGGAGGCGTCGAGTTTAAGAAAAAAGCTCTTGAGTCTCTGCTTCAGCTTCTCAACGACGACGGCAAGTCGTCCGGCGTCGTCGCCAAAGAAGGAAATGTTGCGTATTTGATTCATTTGCTCGATTTCCACAACCAGCCTTTTGTGCGAGAACAGGCTGTCTTCGCCGTTTGTCTCCTGGCCTCAGCCAACGACGAGTCGTCGCGCAAGGCCGTGTTCGAAGAAGGGGGTTTGGGGCCGTTGCTCAGAATACTCGAATCCGGGTCGACCCATTTGAAAGAGAAGGCGGCGATGGCCGTCGAGGCGCTCACGGCCGATCCAGAAAACGCCTGGGCCCTTTCAGCCTACGGTGGCGTCTCGGTGTTGATCGAAGCGTGCCGATCTGGGTCTCAGGCGATCCAGACCCACGCAGCTGGCGCCGTTATAAACGTGGCCAATGTGGAAGAGATCAAGACGGCTTTGGGAGAAGAAGGGGCTGTGCCAGTACTGGTCCAGTTATTGCTCTCAGGCTCCATTACTGCCCAAGAAAAATCAGCAAATTGTTTAGCGATTTTAGCCTCTTCCGATGAGTATTTTCGAGCTTTGATAATTCAAGAACGTGGGTTGCAGAGATTAATGCATTTGATCCAAGATTTGCCGAGCTCGGACACATTGGAACACGTCCTCCGAGCCATAACCTCGCTTTCAGCTTCAGATTCATGCTTTAGAGTCCTGTCTTCTTCAACCCTTTTCCTAATCCAGCTCGGTGAGTTCATAAAGCACGGTAACACAACCCTACAGCAAATCTCAGCTTCGTTACTCGCTCACTTATCGATCAATGTGAGTGACGGCAATAAGCGAGCATTGGGTAGCTGTATGGGGTCGTTGGTGAAGCTCATGGAGTCGCCAAAACCGGTGGGTCTTCAAGAATCCGCGGCCCAAGTGCTTGTGTCGCTGCTTACGGTCCGGTCGAACAGGAAAGAGCTGGTGGGGGACGAGAAGAGCGTGATGAGGCTGGTCCAGATGTTGGATCCCAAGAATCACGAGATGGTTTGCAGCAAGTTCCCGGTGGCGGTGGTTGCGGCGGTGCTCTCCGGAGGGAGCGGTGGCTGCCGGAGAAGGCTGGTGGCAGCCGGGGCTTACCCGCATTTGCAGAGGCTGGCGGAAATAGAGGTCGTCGGAGCTAAGAAGGCACTGCAGAGACTCGCCGGAAACAGGCTCAAGTCCATCTTCTCCAGAACTTGGAGGGAATGATAGTAGTAATTAACCAAGAAAGAAAATACCCGCCAAAGAAAGGTTAGTTTCGGAATTTTAATTTTGTGAAAAGTGTTTTGCCTTGAGAGCTTTATGACTTTGACTCTGACGTGTCATTGAGTTTATCCATTGAGAGGGTGGCATGTGTACATGGCAGCCTGGATGTGTCATGGAAAGTAGCCACCTGTATGTCCACCAGAGTGTCAGATGACAATTCTGCCTATCTTTATAAATCTTATTTGTGGTAAATTAATTAACTAAATCCTAGAAGTGTAGAGAGTTGTGCCTTGCCCAATAGCTTTTTACTGCTGACTTTGTTGAGGCACTCACAGCACATGGAATCCTTATTAATATTAAAAAATGCAGCCATGAATGAAGATGGCCTATATAGAGCTAGAAGGTCCCCATTTTCACATTGATAGATTTTTACTGTTTGACTCGTGAGGGTTGGCGCGTAGTGAATGCGGCGGTGTTAGTTAGGCAGGCGGGGCATGGACTTTTAGTGACACATGGCAAAAGTCGTGGCAAAATGTTTGGATTTTTGCTTTTGCAACTTTTTCTTGGGTCTAAGATTGTGGCTGACATCAAATTTCAATTCGTTTGTTTGTTAATATTCAACAGGAGGAGGAAGGAGGTTCGTTTGGATTTTCTAACCGTCCAAGAAGGAAAGAGCTTGGACAAGCAACAAAAATACACACATCGTTCGTATACCCAACCCAACCCAACCTTTTTTATTTTTAATTAAATTACTTAATTATTAATATTGTTTAATTATGTTATATAATCCTAATATCATAGTGTATCGGTAAAGAAAGAAAAAAAGAGAAGCATGGATGCGGTTTTTAGGGAGTATCCTCGATTTGCTTTATCCTTTTTTATTTATTTAATTTTTAATCTTATTACTTGGTTCACTCGTGAAAGCTGTAAGAGAGAGAGAGAGGGTTGATTTCATGATGATGTTTGTCAATTTTTTTGGGTTATCTTTTTTCATTACCACCCACTTGTTTATGTTGTTTGATCGATCTTATTATGTACATCGTCCCTACCTACCAGATAATGGACAAGGGTTTAGTGCAAGTATTTTTGAATGGTGATGTTATCTGAGCCCTTCAATTCATTTCTCTGTACATGATGATGATGATGATGATGGGAATCTGGAAGTGTAGCTCAAAAAGCATTAGCAGAAATAGATTATGCCATATATCTATCTATGTATCTATCTTTTTGGGCGGGTTAATGGGAAGGAATCAAAGGAAAGGGCAGTGAACAATGATGATAATCTTTAGTTTCTGAGTTGGCTTGAATGGGTCTATCTCTTTCAAACAGATTTGGTGTTTGTTGTCTGGTGGTGACACTTGGTGGGTCCTCGCATCTCATCTCCTCATGCTTGTTTTTGCAATTAGCATGCATCATCTCATCTCCACTTGCATTGCACCAGCTGCTACCAAACCTTTTTAGAGGCTTGAGCTTCACATTCACAATCAAAATCAATTTGGGGCATATCATGCACAAATTAGTCTAAATTATTTTAAATTAATCCAATTTTCGGGAAGGGAACTCAAACTTGTGCAAAGGGTGCGGATTCACTATCCCGACCTAAAGGGGGTAAAAAAGACATTTTTATCGGTGAGTGAAGTGGGTCCTTAAGATTTTGAGAATCTGGGAAAGGTAAAAAGGTAAAACAGGAGACTATGTAATGTATAAGAGCATAAGAGCATATGTAATGTATTATCATTATGTTAAATATGTAATCAAATGAATAATAATAATAATAATAATAATATGAGGGTATATGTGTCATGTGTGGTCCATTTCTCTTACACAGGTTCACATGCTGTTGCTTGCCTTTGCCTCCCCCCAACGAGCCCACCTATCGAATTTGCATTTGCATCTGATACTCCTCCAACAAAACTTTGTCACCTTTTTTTTGTGTTTTTGTTTGCAGCCCTCGTGATATCTCTCTCCCTCTCTCTCTCTCTCTCTTCAGAAACTTAGCTGTAAAGCCTTTACACCTCTTTCTCTATCTGTCTGTCACTTTGTGCTTCTTTTGCTTTTCTTTTCTACCATTTCCATTTCCCGCCAACATTGCACAGTTAAAACGACAGTCCGTTAACTTAACCCACCGTGCCTTCATTCAACTGTTAATTCAATGTCCCATCCATGACTGATCCCTCCGAATCTTTTTTTGATGGATTGTTCTTTTCTTTTATATCTTTGTCCTTGTACTCTTGTAATAGAATCGAATGTGAGATATATAATATATAAATTGAGTGGTTCACTACTAATAGTACCGAGATCTTTTGTTGTGATAAAACTCTATATATATTGAGCTTTGTATGTGGTTAAATTGGGAACTATATCGGTGTTACCAGTAATGGGACGTTGGTCAATCTCTATTAAATTTAACAGATTCGTGGTAAATGTAAGGGGGTGAAATATAGCCTTGATTTTTTATGTTAACCAGCAATGCATGCATGGAATACGGTGGATCATGCACTTTGACAACATTGCACAGTTAAAACGACAGTCCGTTAACTTAACCCACCGTGCCTTCATTCAACTGTTAATTCAATGTCCCATCCATGACTGATCCCTCCGAATCTTTTTTTGATGGATTGTTCTTTTCTTTTATATCTTTGTCCTTGTACTCTTGTAATAGAATCGAATGTGAGAGATATAATATATAAAATGAGTGGTTCACTACTAATAGCACCGAGATATTTTGTGATAAAACTCTATATATACTGGGCTTTGTATGTTGTTAAATTGGGGACTATATCGGTGTTACCAGTAATGGGACGTTGGTCAATCTCTCTGAAATTTGTGGTTCACTACTAATAGCACCGAGATATTTTGTGATAAAACTCTATATATACTGGGCTTTGTATGTTGTTAAATTGGGGACTATATCGGTGTTACCAGTAATGGGACGTTGGTCAATCTCTATTAAATTTAACAGATTCGTGGTAAATGTAAGGGGGTGAAATATAGCCTTGATTTTTTATGTTAACCAGCAATGCATGCATGGAATACGGTGGATCATGCACTTTGAATCTCTTGCAGGTAATGATGATTAATAATGTATATTTTCGGTCAAACGTACAACACTTTTTTCAGTTAGTAAGTTGTTCCGTTAGTTGATTTTGTTAAGTTTCACACCTAAAACTTGAAAAAAGCCACTCCATCAATGCAATGCTGCAAGAGAATAATGTTTCTTGTTCCCTTATAGGTTAACTCGTTATGCATTGGTGCATAATGCATTATCCTACTCAAACTTTGATATGTATGGTATGAGCCTTTCTTTGATGGACAATGAAGAAAATATCAGCATCACATGAGCAAACAAAATAATAGGGCCCAATTCGTTGGGCTTCTTGGAGGTGCTTATGCTTTTCAGAAGCAGATGCAAGAGGTCACTTATGTCTCACTTGGTAATTATACATAGGTTTTCTATGGTTTCGATCTTGGGTGCCAAGCAGGGAAAGGAGGAGGGCCACAACCACTGTGTTAACCCATCTCGACTTCTTATTCTATGTTAAGGATATTTTATCTTAAAATAAGAATATCATGATAATTAATCATCGGATTTTCATCCACCGGATCATACCATGTTTCATTGTTGGTGCATAAACTCACAACTGTCATTCCAACTTTGCTTAGAGAGAGAAGGAATTTTAATTACAAGACCATTACATTTGATCTTTAAAAAAACCCCAACATCTAGTTAATGCACAACAAATCAACTCATATGCTTCGCAATAATCTTGTTTTGCTGTTCCAACCACAGTCTCTGTTGATGCAAGAGGCTTTCCTGATTCACTAATCCATTACACATAGGTTCACTAGGAGTTGTCACCTTAGAGAAGAACGTCGCAAACGGGTCGTTGTTTTCTACGTTAGGCAATGCTCCTCTTGTCTTCATTTCACTTCTTGCAAAGAAAGTCGGTGCAGCAGTGAACTCGTTAGGCTCATCTGCCTGAAAGGTTGTCGCCATGGCCGTGTCACTGTGATTATGTGCCCAAGATGTTGGCGCCATGGCCATGTCACTACGATTACTTGCACCAAATGTTGGCACCACGCTCTCATTATCACGAGCCACCGCACTAAAGGTTGGCGCCATGGCCGTGTCACTGCGATTATGTGCCCAAGATGTTGGTGGCGCCATGGCCATGTCACTACGATTACTTGCACCAAATGTTGGCACCACGCTCTCATTATTGCGAGCCACCGCACTAAAGGTTGGCGCCATGGACGTGTCACTGCGATTATGTGCCCAAGATGTTGGCGCCATGGTCGTGTCACTGCGATTCTGCGCGCGAAATGTTGGCACCACGCTCTCATTATCGCGAGCCACCGCACTAAAGGTTGGCGCCATGGTCGTGTCACTGCGATTCTGCGCACGAAATGTTGGCACCACGCTCTCGTTAAAGTTTGGTGGCATTCTGCTCTCTTGGGGATTTTGGGCGCAGGATGTTGGTGATATTGCGCGGCCATTCGTATCCCGTGCGTGAAATGTTGGTGGTGGCATTAATATTGTATTCTCTTTTGGTCTTTGTCCACCAGCCTCATTTGTGCTCCGTACACAAAATGTTGGTGCTATTCTCATCTCTCTCTGGCTCTGTGCACAAAATGCTGGTGCCATTGTTGTGCTCTCATTTGCAAGCCGTGGCCAGAAACTTGGTGACATTTCGCTCTCTTTTGGACTTGGGGCACTAAATGCAAGTGCCATTGTTGAATTATTTGAATTCTGCGCGGAAAATGTTGTGACATCTGCGCTCTCATTTGAATTATTGGCGCCAAATATTGTGGTCTCTTTTAAATTCTGTTCGGGAAATGTTGGTGCCACTGCTAGCATTGCGAAAGGGAACGAAAACAGGTCGTCTTCTCCGAGATTTCCAAAGCCATTGCTGGCGATGGCGCTTGGATTCGAAGAGGCTGCAAAGCTGTCAATTGGTATTGGGTCATCAAGAAATGGATTGTAATTGTGTTGGGGCACTGAGGAGTTTTGAAACAAGCTGTCCAAGTTTGATGAATCAATGGGTGGAGTTGGTGATGATGTTTGCAATGGTGTTTGATTATTTGCAGACTCAAACAGAACAAGCTCCCAGCCCTGTTTTGCACCCTCTTGATCATCAACTCCTACTAGTTCTTCTTGCTTTATCTGATCCGGTTGCGGTGGGAAGCCATCAAAGGAAACAAGATCGAAACTTTCCGGCAAAGATTGGTTCGATCCGTTCTCATTTCTTCTTCTGGCGAGACCATCCTCTGCCCGCTTCTCTGGTTGCTCCTCCGAGTTATAAAACTCTTGCTCCACCGACCACGACGGGCTCACATTGCCATTCTGATCACAAACGCTCATCAAATCCTCCAACGATGTGCAGGCCGAACTAAACGCAGAACCTTTCTCCGACGCCGTTTCGAATTGCTCCGAAGATGGAAATTCACTCTGTTCCAAGCTCAACCCTTTATCCTTACTACCCTTGGCCAGCAAATGGGTCGGCGGCGACCGACTCGGAAATGAAGCTTGGTCCTTCAAAAACTCCTGCAACGTCTCCAAAAGCTCCTCGGAGATCTTCTGCACGCTAGGATACTCAGAGGTCCGACCAACACCCAAGCTCTTGCACGTCCCGTAAAACGCCGACAGCTCCTCGAATTGCTTCGAGGCTTTCACGCAGGCATGAAACGCGTTCACGCAAGATTGATACTGCAATTGAAAAAAGCTATCCAAAAGCAGAGCCAGCCCGTCCGAAATGTCCCGGTACAGATCGTACGTCTCCTGAACGATCGCATAGAGAGAAATCAGAACTAACCGGTTCGTCCTGGCGGGGCCCGTCGGCGTCGTCCCCATTGCCCGGTCCAGCAGCTTTTGCCAGTAGTGAATCCTGTCCAGCAGCATCGCCGGCTTCATGTCGCGAACCACCGCCACGGTGTCGTTCGACCGGCGGCTCCTCCGACTGCTGTTGTATTCTTGGTCGCGCTGGTACGTGAAGCGCCGCTGGAGCTTCCCGGTGAGGAAGCAATCGAGGCGCTCGTCGAGGTAGAGCGCGAAGGTGCGGACGAAGGCGGTGAAGTCCCAGGGGCAGGAGTTGGAGTCATCGCGGAAGTTGGAGAGGTTGAGGATCTTGGCGCCGCGCTTCATGGCGTGGAGGACCTCGATCGGGAAATAGGGGTCGCCGTCCTGGAAAATGCGGAGGACGAGCATGAGGGATTTGAGGGCGACGATCCAGTCGCGGGTTTTGCCGATGCGCCTGGCGATGGCCTGGGCGCAGGAGGATGCGTACGACTTGTTTGACGAAATGAGCGTGAGAATTTCCTGGACGTATTTGTCTTCGATGGGAACCACGTCGTGGGAGGTGGCTTTGAGGACGGTGACCTCGAGGTTGGCGGAGCTGGTGTTGGAGACCTTGGCAAGGCTTATGCTCGTTTGGTCTTTCACTGCCCCAATTGCCTTCTTCAGCTTGCTTGGCATTGTTAATAATTTTGGATCATGAATTAATTTTTGTTTTTTCAATGTGTTTTTGGTGGCGAGGAGGAGGTTTTTTGTTGGAATTTTTGGGATTCTAATTTTGATTAGTGGAACGAGTTTTTGGTTTTGAGAGGAGGAATGAGAAGGGTGGTGAGGTTTGGAATTATTTTGGGTGGTGGAGAGGAGAAGAGAGGAGGGAAAGGCCTTGGGACTCTCTTATTGTTTGTGGACGTGACTGGGACTCGCACTTGTTTAATTGACCAAGTCATCCATCGTCATATGAACCATATTTTCAGTGTTTGCATCTTTGCACTCAAACTCTCCCATGAATGATTGGGACGATTAGTTCTAGTGGTTAAGAGCGTTTGGTTTTATGTCCGAAATTCTGATTTTGGATTTCTCATTTCCTTCCACTTTGAAAAGAAAGAAAACAAAATCTGAAATGGAAATGGGATTGGGTCAATTGGAATAATGGTTGCCATTTTCAGAACGTGCAATCCTCCTTGGGTGGATTATGGTGATCCATGCAACCCTGGATTCTCCTGGTTTGAGAGAGAGAGAGAGAGCACTTATTTTATCGTCCGATTTGGAAGGTATGCGTTTACCTCTAGAATAATTTGGAAGGTCTGCGTTCGTTTTTAGAATGACCTTAAATTAGCACAAAGGCCAGCGATATTATTGTTAATTAAGCCTCCATTTGGCAGTGTTTTCAAAATTTTAGGAGAAGACGAAAAAACTTGTAGCTGTATTTTAGATATGTCTTTCAAGCAAGAAGCAGTTAGCTAAATAGTGTTGGTTTTGACCAATAAGTACGTACTCTATAGACTCTTTGAATTTTGAATGTATAAGTTAAAACTAAAGAAGTGATTCAGGTACGTAGATCGGGTAAATTCTATGCATGCATGCATGCGTTGCCAGATTGAGTCTAAAAGCAGTGTTGTTCATGCTATCATGCAAACACGTAAATGAATATGATTAACTTCTTTACAAGCCCTGGCTGGCTCGATTTTCTGGTTTTTATATTTGTGGTTCTCATCAAGTGTTTGACTTTTTTCTATGCTACATATACATTGTTGGTCAAGGGCCCAAAAAGCTAGGACACAAATAACTCTCTGGTCTGGGCCTAGGATTCTTGTACGAAGCCTAATTGACGAGACCATCAGCAACAGTATTGCAGACCAAATTGAAGTCTCAATCGACCAACCACGCCAGATCTTTAATGAAAAAGGGGGTGAACACTTAATGAAATGGACAATGCAAGAAGTGAAAAAGTATGTGACTTGACTATACAAAGCAGCAGCAGAGAGTCTGTGCAGCATGAACTCATCATGATCAGCCCATAGGACTTCAAGGATGGGAAAGAGAGCTGTTTAAGTAACATGGGCTCACTGCATTCAAGCTTTAAAAAAAGGACATTATTGGTTCAACAAGGATCTCCTCAACCCACCTTTTGAAAGAGCCGTTTCAGGCTTTCTTACCATCACTGTACAAAAGGACATTACAATTTATTTACGTGGAAAAAAAAGGACATTAAGACTTTACTAGGGATAGGAAATATCCCTGGCCTTCTGCGTCTCTGATTGAGTGGTTGGTTAAAATCCAGGTTTCAGTAACATGGGCTCATTACCTTTGAGGCAAAAATTTGGTATAGCTAGGCAGACATGGAGAAGACGGGAAAAGAAGAAGCAGAGGTTGTGTGCCAATGCTGGAGTTGTACTTTTGGTTGGCCAAGTGGCGGGTACAACTTTTTGGAAGGCAATGGAACTTCGTCGATGTAGGCTATGTGATTACGGTTTTGTTTTTGCATTGCCTGTCTCTTTTAGCACCATTTCATTTCAACTGGGGGATCAATTTGGGTGGCAATGTCTCTGTATGTTATCACAGGTCTTGGTGTAACTCTGTCTTACCATAGAAATCTTGCTCACAAAAGCTTTAAGCTCCCCAAATGGCTCGAGTATTTCTTTGCCTATTGTGCGGTTTTGGCACTTCAGGTTTGTGCGTATATAGAATATATTTTAAAAGTTATGCTAGCATAGGTCGACTATGAGTCATTGATCGATGCATTGTGACAACCACATGCATCAACCTAGAAAATGTCTTTACAACTTTGTTTTTGATTTATAGGGCAGTCCAATCGAATGGGTGAGCACGCACAAAAACCACCATCAGTTTACTGACATGTGGAGCGACCCTCATAGCCCTAGTGTTAGGGGATTATGGTTTAGTCATATTGGATGGGTGTTCGATTATCGTTCTCGGTTTGGAAGTGTGAGTACTCTCTCTCTCTCTCTCTCTCTCTCTCTCTCTCTCTCTCTCTCTCTCTCTCTCTCTCTCTCTCTCTCTCTCTCTCTCTCTCTCTCTCTCTCTCTCTCTCTCTCTCTCTCTCTCTCTCTCTCTCTCTCTCTCTCTCTCTCTCTCTATATATATATATATATATATATATATATATATTAATCCGCACACACAGCTAAAACTTTCATGCAACATAATCGTTGCTTCTTCTCTCTCTATATCTCTCATCACGTAACTTAGCACGTGATGAGAGATGAATAAAGGAGGTAAAAATCATGTTACATGTAAGTTTTCTCATCTTTTACACCCTTCTCTCGTTTAAATTAATAGACATAACAATATTAAAATTTTGTTAAACTAATCATAAATCTTGGAATTTTACAGTATATGAAGGACGACTAAACAATGTTGGAGATTTGAAAAGGCAGCCCTACT